CAGGAGCGCCTGTTCCGCACAGGCGCGTGGGGAGGGAAGCCCGTAGCAGGCTTCGTGGCTATATCCTTACCTGTGAGACAGACAAATAAATGCTGCTGTCACTTTCATGAAGCCCCGCAGCGCTGCTTTTCCTGCTAAATGGCGAGGAGGGCGGGAGCTGCCTTTGGGGTGGGAGAGTGAGTGCCCCGGCAGCACAGCACAAGGAAACGCAGTGCCCTCTGACCTCTCTGACTGTCATACTTCCATTTTCCATCTCCAGGAGTTAGTAGAACGGAATTGTACGTCTTCATGTCCTTCACGCTGAGGATCCAGACAGTGCTGGGCTTAAGTAACGTAGATAATCTGCCTACAAGTGTCTGCTCAGCAGTGGGTGAAGATAGTGTTCATGGATTTGTGATCAATGAGCATATAGCGGTACAATAATACCGAGCTACCTCCCAGTCCGTGCCCATGTGGCATCTCTGTTGAATGCAGTAGATGTTTACAGCTACGCCTTGCAAGAGCCTCTATAGAAAAGAAGTTGGGTGGGAATGTCTTTGCCAACCTTCAGCAGCCTGTCAACATCCACCTAGCAACTGTATTGCCAAGGGCTCTACCAACAACCAGCTGTTGTATAGATAACCTGCAATGCTAGGTACACGGGCTTTTTTTTAGTCATGGCAAAAAAATGCTGCTGCTTGTATTAACTGGTTGTTCAGATACTAGTTTGTTAAACGGAAGAGCTGCAGAAGGCGCAATGGTAATTGTATTCTGACGCCTGATAACATCACGTAAGTGGCTTCTTTAAAATGTAGTTGAAAGTAATTTAGTTGTTTGGTTCAAGGTTTGGGAGTTTGGGGTTTTTTGCCTGTTTGTTTTGTTTCTGGTGAAGTGTACTGTTAGTTTTATATCAGTATTTTTTGGCAGTAATTCTTAGGGTTTCAAGGAAGTCAGATCTAAAACCACAGCTGGATCGTAAACTGATGGAGGCTGTTTGTTGTGGCCTTGCCTTGGCTGTCACTAATACTACAGCAAGTGTTTGTCTTGCATTTCTACTTTCTGTTCCCTTTTTTCTCTGAATTGCTTAGAATGCAGCCTTTTCAGAAAGCAGTGTTTTTCTTTCCCCAGAAGTCTATTTTATAGAGCATAGTATTGTTCAGTCTGTGTGGAGTCTTAAAATTCTCTTTCACAGTTGTCCTGGTTTTGGCTGGGGCAGTTATTTTTCTTCCTAGCAGCTGGTGCAGTGCTGTGTTTTGGCAGTAGTCTGAGAACAGTGCTGGTTACACACCAATGATTTAGTTGAACAATGCTAAATATTATTGCTCTGTGTCACTCTGGATGTGTTTAAGTGTTTGGGAAAAAAAGTTATGGAAGTCAGATGTCACAAGTCTCACTTTCCTTACTGAAGCTGAAGTCCAGGGCTGAAGTGAGACTGACTGTCTAGGGTCTTGTTTTCCAGCTATGTATCAAAGCAGCAACCATAAGAATGCAAGGAGCAGGATGTCACCAGAGCTGGTTGTCGTCCTTATTAGATTGAGAAATCAGGTAGTTCTTGTATTGGGTTGTTTGTAAAACAGAATTTTCTAAGACTGTTTTGGGACAGTCTTTGTGCAAAATTGTGTGCTTTTTATTGAAGTTTGCATTCAAATGAGCTGATTAAAACAAACTTTATTTCATGGGAATGTTCCGGGTTAGTGCAATGCTTTCTTGTTTCTCAGAAGTGAGTTTCTGCTGCCTGACTCATTCTGTGGTCTCATTATTCAGTGGATGTCACATCAGAAGTGATAATGGAGGTGACCGTAGTGAAAAAATACTGAGTTTATGACACTGTTGATTGATTTGGACAGAAGGGAGAGATTTATGAAAAAAGTACTGTCCAGGCATTGCACAGTGAAATAGTTTTTTGGAAAAGCAAGAACAATTCTTGGTCATGTAGGAAAGACTGTCATGTTTTGGAAAATCAGAAATTTTCACAGCCACAGCTACTGTTTGCTTTCAATACTTTCAGATGTTTATTTAGAAAAAAATGGCTGTAAATTAGGGTAAGAGGGAAGAAATCCACAAAACCTCTAACATTATTGTTGTGTATTTTATCCTAAATTATTTTATTGGAAAATCTTTAGGCACTGCATGTATGAATGCTGTGTGTATATGGATATAAATCACTTAATTGTTTCTTTTCAACTGATTTGTTGTAAACCTGTTCATAGACTTTTTTTTCCTCTACATATTGTAGTTATTCTTATCAGAAATGATGAATCCTAAGGAACAGAATTATTTGACATTAGTCTTCCTTTCTTTTAATGTTGTATTTAAAAGAGTAAATTCAGATTTTTTTTAAACTATATTTAAAAAGAGAAGACTACAAATTCACTTTGTCCATGTGTTAAATTGGAATCTACTACTTTCTACCTAATCATCAGACTGTGCGTGTTATAGGTTTTCTTTATACCACTTCTTTCCCTCGCATATTTGTTTATGGTACATAAAACAAGAGGGAGAGGAGGGAAAAAACTCACTTTGCAGTAGGAAGTCAAGATATTAACATTGCTTATGCAGTATTGCTGAAAAAGTATAATGAAAAATATAAAACTTAATTTTTCATTATAATAGGCATGCAGCAAGGAACTGCATCATAATTTAAAATAACTAAACCACACTGGCAGTAGTGCAGTTTTACGCAGAACTTTTCCTGAGTGCTCCTATCCTTTTAAATCTGTATTGAAATTATGAATGGCCTAGAACTGAAATTCAAGGAACGATGGTTAGAATCAACATGTCAGTTCCGACATGAGAAGGAAAGGATCTGAGTGTTTCCGTGGATGGATTGGGAGGAAGCTCTACTCAGTAAGATGAGGTATGAAGAACAGAATAGACAGTAATCTACTATATGCAGCCTCTCAAAACAGTGATGATGATTATTTATCACTCTTTTCTGTCTCTTTCAGAAAAGATACAGAAGACGGTGAAAAAAACAACTTTCTTGAGAATGGGGCCTTTTTTTGCATAATTCCAACTTAATTGTGGAACTTCCCATCAAAGGTATGGATTTGGGTGTGGTAGTGGTGTTTGGTTTTGTTTTGCTTTTATTTTTTTAATTATAAAAGTGAATGATACTGTGCAGGCAAGAGTTAGTCATTGAGTTGTAAAGATTTGGGATATATTTCAATTATAGGCATTCTCATAGTTTTCTCCAGAATCTCTCTTACTGCCCTGTTGCTCACACGTTATGCTTAGTAGCTCATTTGTAAACAAGTATTTCAGTACTTGTATCTCTGTTTTGTTTATTGAGTTATTTCCCCTTCTGAGGAAGGACTGTGAAGTCACGGAATCTCTGCTGCCCTGTTAAGATGGAAAATGGGCAGATTCCTCAGCAGTCAGCAGTGTTTCTAGCTGCCTTCAGGTTTTTTGGCCTCTGTGTTTCTGTCAGTTTGCATGATTTCCCCTTCATAAAGCCATGCTGACTACTACCAGTCATGTTCTTGTCCTTACTGTGTTTGGAAGCAGTTTGCAGGATTATTTGCTCCACCTTCGCACAGATCAGGGTGAGGCCAACAGGCCTGTAGTTGCCTGGATTGTCCTCTTTGCCCTTGAAAAGAAAACAGGGTTGATGCTTGCTTGAATCCTCTGGAACCTCACTCATCAGCTTAAAGCTTTCAGACATAGTTGAGAGTGGTCTCACAATGACAGGGACAGCTCTCTCAGCTCACTCATAGTGGCATGTCATCAGGTCCCATGGAAGTGTTATGTCCAATTTGTTTAAAGATTTCTTAATCTGATCCTTCCTCATTCAGAGTCTTCGTTGCTCCAAACTTTCCCACTGGTCTCAGGGGCCTGGGATTTCAGAAAGCAGGTCTTCCCTGTTGAGCAAGGTAAAGAAGGCTCTTTGATGTTTCGGCATTGTTTCACAAAGTACCCACCCCATTCAGCAGCAGGCCCATGTTTCCCCTAGCCTTCTGTATGCTGCTCATGTACCTGTACAAAACTTTTGACCTTCATATCCCTCACCAGATTCAACTCCAGGTGCACCCTGGTTTTCCTAGCTCCATCCCAGTTAATGGTGTTCCTGTATCAAGTGTGTGCACACACTTGATGTGGCTCCGCTTCATCTCTGTTTTATTGATTATAAGATCTCTCTTGTCCACATCACCCTGCATCCTTTGCTTGCAAACCCTGACTACCACTTCCTCACTCAACTGTAGGTCACATCTCTCTTTCCATCTTTCCTAGTCTAAGCCTTTACTTAGCAAGTTGACTAGCCTTTTGGCAAAGATGCTTTTGCCCCAGATGGTCAGTGGATTCCATCAGTTAGCAGTTCTTGAAACTTAGAAAAGTTCCCATCGTTGTAAAGGCTGAGTCCCTGTGATTGACGTCAGCTGCATAACAACTTGTTTTTGTTGGTGGGATTCATAGACTCTTCCAGGTCTTCCCCTTCGCCGTCAGGACAAAATATATACTACCTGGCTACGAGGCACTGGCCAACACCCTCTGAGCACTGTAGCTGTGTTCGATACACTCCTGGTTTCCTTTGGCTGTGTCTGTGGCACCCATATGAAGGAGCAGATGAGGATAACAGTCTGAGGGCCAGACTACTACCAGCTTCAGTAACAGCCTGTCCATGGTGTCCAGGAGCCAAGCCCCTGGTAAGCACCAAACCTTTCTGGTTGAGCTGGCAGAGGTGCCTCTGTCCCAGCAGCAGGGAGTTTCCCACCACTGTTCCTTGCCTGTACTGCCATAGGATGCCAGCTCGGAGGCTTCACTGGACAGAGCTCCCTGTCTTTGCCTGCTGACAGGGCACAGAACCTGCTCTGTGGATCAGAGGTGCAAGAGGAGCAGCAGCTGTCTTCCTAGTGCTAGAGCTTGCAAGCTCACAGACTTCGCCTGAGTTGACATCTCCATGCCCAGCTTAACAGGATGAGGTTCTGCCTGCACCTCCTTTGTGCAGTAGGGGTTCCTGTAGCTTCAGGGTCTTGGAGGGAATCTGGTCCATCTCCTTTTCCACATCCCTGATGTTACACAGTCTGCTCACCTCCTCCCACAGCTTCTTTGCTTGACAGATCCTCCATCAGTGCACACTTAGAAGGATATGAAACGTTTTTTAGTTCTAAACCTGCTGGTTGCCAAAGCTAGCTTACAGCAGAGGCACATTAACAGCTGGCACATTCAGGAGTATAATGCTAAATCATTTATATGTCTAGAGACTGTACATAACTTCATAGTGTATTAATACCATGTATACAAGAGACTGTGGTGCTTGCATGCTACATATAGTAAATGTAGGCCTGAATAATTTTTATGATTATCATGAACCTAAAAACAGTTTTAAGGGCACAGTAGCTGTATTCAATATGCAACATGGGTTTATAAAATAAGTGCTAGCAAATATGATGAATTTTTAGGATAAAAATAAGCACTTAATACTCTGCTGTACTTGAATGGAAACACTGTTGCACCAGAAGACAACAAGCAAAGTGTTGTGATAAATAAGGCATAGGAGAACTGTGGAAAAATGTCTGATAGCTTATTTGGGTCTGATTTTGATTAGACATCTAGAAAAAGAAGAAAGCAATACATTACTGAAACTTGTCACTAATATTAAACAGAGAAATTGCAAATGCAAATGAAGATAGGCAAACTTGAAACAAGTAAGAAAACCCCTGGAAACAGAGACATAAGATGAAATTTCAGTGCAACAAGTGGGAGCTGAAATGGATAAATCCCAAAGTGCAGAAATAAGAGAAACCGATGGGTTAGGAGAGTAGCATGGGTCTTATGTGTGTGTTGCAATATTAAGACACTTATATGAAGGCAGCCTGACAAAAAAAGTGACAGTAGTAATCCTTCCCTTGAAGGTTCTGCTGAATAATGCTTACAACTTAGTGCTGCATTTTTATGAGGATCAGTTTATGAAGTACCAGTGTCATACTGTAGGACTTGGTGGAGTTTCTTCAGTCTAAAACAAAAAATAACCCAGCACACTGAACTGTAAGAATGGAAACCTTGATGTTTTAAGTGTGATTAATAATGAGAAACTTAATATTGTACAAGACCTCTTACAGGTCTACATGAAAGATGTTAGGGTAGAGTGGTGTCTTTCTCTACTGGTCTGCTATAAATGCCGTGAAGGAGGTTTTTTAAGCAGGGAAAAATGACAGATTCCTAGGGAAGCTTGTGAGTATTGTAGCATGCAAGCTTTTAAAAATAATCTTGAAATATAGTTGGTAGACTGCAATAGGTAGGTGGGGTGAATCCTTGTATAACATAAATCCCTTCCCTGTGTTTCTTGTTTGCTTTGCAACCTTTTCATTTTGATGGAGTACTTCTTTAATGTTTATATCCTTTGCTGCTGCTGGCTGGCTGTCAGTCGCTTGCTTTACCTATTACTCAATAGTTTTCCCAGGTACTTGTTTTACTTGCATCTTGATGATAAATGTTTCATTTTAGTGAGATATTACTAATGAAATCATAAAATAGTTCTCTTCCTGGTACTTGAAAAATGCATGTGAAATGTCTGTAAGTTTTCTTTTAATTCCTTAAATCAATAGCTGACAGGTTTGGTTGTTGGTTATTTTTTTCCTATTCGAATGTATGTGGAACCCTGTAGGTTGCATGATACTAGCTAATTTAATTTTCTTTTAAATGATTTTTTAAATTTATCTCTCTAGGATAATTTTTGATTCCTGGGTCGTGACAGATTATTACCTGTTTGCGTTCAATGGGACGACGAATTCACTTTGTGGTTGACCCTCAGGGTTGGTGCTGCATGGGTCTGATTATCTTTGTCTGGCTGTACAACACAATCTTCATTCCAAAAGTCATCCTTTTTCCTCACTATGAAGAGGGACATATTTCAGTTCTTGCAATTTTGTGTAAGTCAATTTAACTTAACCCTTTTTTATACCAGTAAAAATAGTGTACTTGGATGGTAGTTAACATGTATGAGACAGTTCAGAAAAAGAGGTGAAAGATAAAGGATAAAGGTACTGAGGTGCTTCCTACAATTCCGTGTTCTGAGGAGCTGAGACTTTCTTTCATTTCAAAGGTGTTCTGGTAAAACATGTTTATGTGGAAACTGGGGAAAAGCATTAATATGGTTTTCAGATCCTATAGCTAGAACTTGTTGACTTAATTTCAGGCCAACAACTCTTAGTGCTTGTCAGAATTTGGGGTGGTAGTACTGATGGCTGGCAAACTGAGTTTTGGTAGTTTTGTCATACAAATGGCAAATGACCTGGATGGGTCTGCTAATATGAGTTATGCTAACGAGGTTTTCTGGGGAAAGATTATAACTGGAACCAATTTTAAAATGAAGATTGATTATTGGGAATGTCCTTTTCATGTGTAGGCTTTTTGTGCTAATATGATAAGTGTAGTAGTAAGATCATAATGGCATTCTGTTGGTGCTATCAAAAGTGTTCACTGCTACCTTTTCCTTTCCCTTTTCAAGACTGGGGAGTACTTAATATTTTAGACTGCATAGTGCCAAATGTATGCCTGGAATTGAATGAGAAGGCTGAGTAATTTCTAACTCAGTGCTGGAGCATCTGTATTTTTGATGCAGTGTACAGTAGATATTTTGTACACCTAAAGAAGACTAACAAGGTCTTATTTTTTCAGGTTATTACTTCTGCTCATTGTTTTGTATAGCTTCATTACTAAGAGCCTCAGTAGCTGATCCAGGAAAGCTACCTGAAAACCCAAAGATACCGATTACAGGTACATTAAGTTGTTTCTAAGAAATAGAATAAAAATTATTGTAATGTCCTCAAAATAATTAGGAGTCAATTTGATTTTGTGACATTTAATGGAAGCTATGAGCAGTTTCTGCTGAAGCCTGTGTTGTTAATGATATTAAAATTTGTATGGCCCTGTTTTTAACTTGTAAATTTTTAGCACTTTCCCTTGTGTAGACTGAAAACTTCTTTTTCAAAACTTGTATTGCATCAGAAGTTTAGTTATTTAGGAACTTCTGCTAGGAAATTTTTCCACATGAAGATTTTTTTTTTTGCATTCTAGGCTTTCAAACATATTGCACATACTTCTAACTTGATAATACTCAATAAAAAAATGTTTAGAGGTGGTCAGTCATTATAACTCCATAGTTTTTTTTCCTAGAAGATTTATAAAATGTCCAAGGTGGTGGTAAAAGGTACAGGATTTTACCTGTGCATTTTCTACTCATTTTTTTTTTCAGTGACTTATGTTTGTGTGGGCTGTTAACCAAACAAATGTGATGCTAATTACATTGCGTTGCTATGGAGTAGCAACTTAACATGTGAGAATTCCCTTCTGTCCTTGTGAATTTATTCCACAATTACTTAATGGTATCTGATGCTCCAGAAATAGAAGTAAATTTGAAACCTTAGTAATTCTCCACAGAGAAAGCCAATATTTTTAGGAACTGTTGGATGCTATTAAGGTGCTTATCTAATGCAGAGCGCTTTTATGTAGCAGTTTTGAATGGAGCAGGGCTATTAAATAGTGTGAGCTTTGCTACATTAACAGAAAATACTTCTTGAATGTAGAAAATGCATCAAATGGAGTGAGGGGTGAATATTTCAGACTTTTTTTGTTGTTCCTGGCATCCACAATATTGCATTTCGCTCTCTCTTCCTAATGTTAGTGAGAATTTAGGATAATGTGTTCAGAAACATGATCAGTTTACCCTGAGCCCTGATGTTACAGGGTGCACAAACTAGGCAGCAGATAGTAGGAAGGTGCGTATCTCCCTGGGATTCACATGTAAAACGCTGATTGCAGAAAATCTCAAGTCAGTGTTCTTTCTGCTCCTGGTAACTGATCTTTTGATCCAGTAAAACAAAAGGTGGCTTAGTCTTGGGCTCTGCAGAGTTTTTGCAGCAGGAAGAACAACGTGGGTTCTGTAGCCCAAGCTGGAGAATGAAGACACTCAATACAGTTACAGACAATTATATTTATGACTGAATGTTCGTTTACCTGCAAGATACCAGGACCAGTAAAAATTCCTTTTGTACAAATGTTTCTTTCCCTTTTAAGGGATCCCTTTGAACAGCCCTCGAGCCTCTTCATGGTCCATTCATTTCTTATGGCAGTGATGGAACTCTTCGGCTTGGCTGTGACATTGATCTTATGATTTGGTGTATGCTGCATAAAGGATTTTATACTTTCTGAAGCAGCACTTCAGTTCTTTGGTATTCTCTAGGTTGACAGGAAAATACATTTTCACATGGTATAAATTGTATTAAAAATTAGTTGGGATGTTTCTGAACTTCTCTGGTAGCTACCCTATTAGGGAGTGACACCTTTGTGACACTGGTTTTATGGGAACAGATTGTAAATCAATTTCCATCTGGCATTATTACTAGTTTAATGATCTCAGATGTTGGGCTTCTTTACTTCCAGTGTCCAAATGTTATTTTGCTGCAAGAAAGACAAGATTAGAGCTGCCTGCAGGTGGCTCAGAAGGGCTAAATTTAACTTGATTTATATTGGGACAGTGCTTTTATGTAAAATTTCAGAATGCCCTACTGTAAAAACTAAACTTATTCCTTTCCCACCTCCCCCAGGATTCAAGAAATTTCTGTGAATAAAAAAAGTTCTATGTAGGTAGAAACAAAGTATTTTAAGATTCTCAGTCATGCACCTATTTTTCTTAAAGACAAAAAATATATGTTTTTGTGAATGGAAGTGTTACAGTGTGGGTGTGATTTGTTTCCCCTGTGAAAATGAACTTTCTAATATATCATTTGAATTTTCGTGTTCAAAGGCTTCTCTAATTTGGGTGGTGCATTTTGAGATAAATAATAAGCTGAGTAATAGTAGCTCCTGGTAGTTTCAGGTATTCAGTATCTCTGGAGATCAGAGTCTCACACTGAGAATCCAAACATAGCATATATTTTTAAATACGAGTCTGTCCTCTGTATGTTCTTTGTTTGCCATATGTGTAAAATTGCATGTAGTGTGGTGTATGTCTGAAAATACTTTGAGGTGGAAGATGCTCCTGAAGTGTTCATTCTGTATTTCGTTTTAGTTAGCTGTCTTTGACAAATGCGAGTAGCAGTACTTCCTTGGGAGGTTTTGGAATGGCAGGGAGATTGTACAATGGTTCTGTCTAGCACATACATTTTTTCACCATAAACGTGTGAGAAAATAATTGAATTACAGTCTTCCTTGTTTGAGTGATAGCTTTTGTGCAGTAATAATTGCTCCCTAGGAATATACGGGAGGAGAGAAGATTTTGGAGAAGAAGATCGGCACAGAGTGGCAATAGTCTTTTCCAGTTTAATTAAGGTGACAGAAGGAGAAAAGTTTTTCATATGCTGCTTACCCTTCTCAGATCATAGTGAGATTTTTTTTTCTCTTTGAATCACTAGCTTACAGATTTATCATGAGTGTGCTTTACTGAGTTTAAAGCTCTCTAAAGTGTCTTTACATTTTCACCTAGAACGAGAATATTGGGAATTATGTAACAAATGCAATATGATGAGACCAAAGCGTTCACACCATTGCCGTCGTTGTGGACATTGTGTGAGGAGGATGGATCACCACTGTCCATGGTAAGACCAGGACATTTGTTTTAAAAATCTACTGTTATTTTAGTGAATAATTTCAAACTTCATGGTCTTGACTATTGCTCATTTGCCATATTTCTTTTCTGGTAGTGCTTAATTGTTCAGGCATTTAGAGCAGGGAAGAACAGCTTTGGGATTTTCATGTATCTGCAAGTAAAACTGAAAGTAAGAACTACTACATGTAACATTTTATCATTGTCAAATTGGTATATGCCATATAGTTTTGGAAAATTAACATAATTTGTTTAAGTAACTGGATTTTGTACTGCTAAAAGTGATCTCAGCATAATTTCTACACTGCAGATGTATTTCAGCAGCTGCAATTAGTTTCTGATGCTGGAAAAAGAATATTTTTTGTAGGAAATTAAACAATATGTTTCTTAATATAAGAGAGGATGCTTTTTATAATTCTAAAAAAAGCTGATGGTTTCAGGCACGTTTTGTTTTTTAGTTTACCAAATGGCAGTGCTGAATAGAAAATGTTAGTGATCCGTACCATGTCCTACTTGTCATAGCTGCTCTGGTTTTGTAGTGAAATTGCTTATTTTAGTGTTCTCTAACTAGTTTCAGTCAAAATGAACTAATCTGGGTAAAATTCTCTATTTAAACTGGTTGTTTGCAGCTTAAAATTAACATTTCTGTCAGTAGTTCTGAGATATTGTTTGCAGCAAGAGAGCAATGAAGAACTGCAGAGGACACAATTGACATGAGGATCCTCTTATGTTGATTTAGTAATTTTTCAAACTACCCTTTTTGTCAATTGCTGCTTCAGAAAATTGTGCCAATGTAGTGCTTTTGTTATTATGCCTTAGCATGGTACTGTGCCAAGAATGTTTGTATGAAATTTCACCTTGACCATGGTTTTTGCATCAATGTAACTTCTGTGAAGCAGACTAGACCTAGCATTCAAAGGTTTTGAATATCATTATTTCTAGAATCCTGGTGATTTCTTTACTTATTTATGTTGGAGTTTGCAGAAGGAGTTTCTGAATAAAGATGCCTGTTCTGTCTTCTGTGTCTTAGGGTCCTTCCCAAGTCATGCTTATTTGTCATTGCGGTATCTTGTGATGACATTTATTTCAAACCACTCGTTTGCATTTCCAGTTTTCTGACTCTGTATAGTTCACAACCAGTGAGATGTGTTGAGTAGCTGAAGATAATGCATATTACTGTGAAATTTTGCAGACTTTTAAAAAACAATTTTGTTACTTGGGTATTACTTAGAATTGTGGGAGTATCTTTGCTATTTGAAGATACAGAGAAATATGTCTTCTGTTCTAAGCAGTGATCGCAGTAATGCAACCTACAGCTTAAGTAGCAGTGTAAGGAAGCCACGCTTTATAGTAACTACCATCTTTAAAGTCTTGATTAAGAATGGAGTGATTAGTCAGTAGTTCTTATGTTTGCCCCATGAAGAGCCATAACTTCTTTTACTCACAATATCATAACTGCAGTGCTAAAGTCTTTCTATTTCTGTCTTTATACATTTTGTTTCTCTGCAGGATTAATAATTGTGTTGGTGAAGACAATCATTGGCTGTTTTTACAGCTGTGTTTCTACACTCAGATCCTTAGTTCATATACGCTTATACTTGATTTCTGCCATTACTACTACTTTTTGCCTCTGAAAAAAGAAAATTGGGTAAGAATCTGTTTTCTCTACAAAGTGAGTAAGTAGCTTGTACTGCAATGTAATTTGTTCTGGTATCTAGTTACCACATGCTTCTGCTGGCTCAGTTGTTTACAGTGAAGAGAGTTCAACTAGATGTACGTTAAGTGAGCAGACTGGTTTACAGGAAGTAACAAAATATTCTAAAAGGGTATATGACTTCTCTTTGTTAAAAACACAACATTAGTTTTCTTAGAAATCTAGGAAAGGAGGACAGAACCAGTTAGGTTCCTTTAGAAGAGATTAGTGAGTAATGGGGAGAAACAGTGTAATTGCCTTACATGTATTCAAGTAACTTTTTACTTTCCCCAAAGTAAATTTTTGCAAAGTGTATATCTATTCTAAGTCCCTATTTAAAAATGCTGATACTGCCAGAAAAATGATAAAAACCAATGCAACTATTCTGAAAGCAGTAAAAAATATATTGTTTTTTGAGGCAGTATTTTGTGTTGCTTTGGTCATGTGGGTTAAGGAGAATTGAGTTTGGTTTTTCTTTCAATTGAACTCTATGCCATATTCATATTCCAAGATCTTGTCACAAGAAAAATGCAGTTGAACACACAGAGAATATGGAATTACGGATATTTGCTTGAAAATTGCTGAAGATGTGAAAATGCTAGAACAGCAAAGCTAGAATAGCAAATGTTATGAGATCTTGCTCATAAATAAACATAGAAACTGCTACCCAAAATCTGAAGTGGACGTTACATTGGTACTGATCTATAGCAAAACAATCACCCTAAAGAAAAAACCTAGAAAACAAATTTAAAACATACTAAAAATTAAATAACATTCCAGATATCCAAAGTGTAGTGTCTAAGACTGTCCCAGAAATTGGTAGTGTACTCTAAATTTCTTGAGATTTTTTTCCAAGTACCAAAGTGCTGCAGATTTTTTTTATTCCCTGTTGATGTGACACCCCAGCATACTCTGCTGGTGATGTCACACCCATCTTTCAAGGCTGCTGGAGACTGGCCTTTGGTTATAGGTAAGGCAAGTCCCTTTTTCCATTTTGTTGAACAACTTCAGTTTGTTACATTATTTTGTATTCCAAATGGTGTAAAATAAGAATATTAAACTTACTTTCAACTTTCAACTTCTGGAAAAGAATGGGGCATAGCCTTCTAGTTTTCTTTGCTTCCCTATCTGTCTGCAGTGGATTTGGTGTTCCCAAGAAAGCGTATGTGAAGATCATGTGTTGAAGACTGTACTCCTTTGACCATCCAGAACTGATAAAAGTGTTACATTCAAGTTGATAGAGACCAACTTTTTATTATACGGAATGTACCAAAGTTGAGAATTTTTGCAGATTCCCCCCTGCCCCACCTGTGTTATTTCCCTTTAAATGGCTTAAGGGACTCTGAAAATAAGGAAAAGAGAAGAATTTGCTGTCTTCTTGGAGCATCTTTCCATAGACACTGCCCTCTAAAATGAGACAGACCTGTAAAATACGTCAATTAAAATGGAGTACTCACATTTTTCACTTTGTTTCCAGTTTGTTGCAGATGAGCTTTTCATATTTCCCTTTTTTTACAGGCATTGTGAGATTTGAGGGAGCTATTTTGATTTGTTGTAGCTGCCTCCAAGTTAAAAAGGATATGAATTTGCAGTCTTTCTCTATTAGTGAATAAATCTGTCATCTAAATAAAATTTCTTAGGTTTTTGAATGGTAACTAAATGTAAATGCCTTTGCTTCTAGTTTCAGTAGCTTTGTAAACTTCTTTTTGATTTATAAACTAAGTAAATCTACTGTATTTCTGGGCAGAGTGATCCTACATTTTGTATATTCTGAAGGTTTCCAGTACGCAGAATTCGCAGGTTTCAAGCACCAAGGCTTCTCTGTCAGTGATACTGATCTGAATTTATTTAGTTGTCTAGTCAATATATCTGCCTGGAAGATGGCATCAGAGCCCCATTAAGCTGTTCTTTTATGCAGTGTTGCTAAGGATATGATGCCATATAACTTTGTGTCACAGAGTAACATGTCAAAATTGCATTCTTTTAATACCAGAATGATGTTCAGGACCACCGAGAAGATATGCTTACTATTAAGTAGGTTTTTAGGCAAGCATCCTGCAAGATTCTTTTAGTCTTTGAATATCAACTAATACTGAAGTACCATAGCATTCCAGAGACTGAAGTACCTTCTACCTCTCCTGGAAGCGCTGCTCTTAGTTGAAATTTTGGATGTAAACCAAGAGGTTACATTTTCTGAATTGAGTGGTGCCAGTGTTTAGCACAGATTCAAAAAACTGGGTATTTTTTTCTAAACAGCCATCTGGAATTAGCTTATCCATGATCATTAAAAATACGTGTGAGGTTTTTGGCAGTGTGCCTTCAACTTAATTTTATTTCTTTGGATATAAAATAGTACAGAACACAGAAGCAGTAGAGTTAAATTTTTTTTAAGGCAGTTGTGAAATAATTTTATCACAGTACTGATTAATGTATTATGGAAATAAGATCACAGTATGCATGCTAGTATTTCCTTCTGAATGAAAACTTGTGGTTTTATTTTAAAAGGGTTGAGTAAGAAAAACCCAATCATTTTTTATCAAGTGTTTTGAAGTACGGGTCTTAGCTTTAAAGCTAATAGAGATAGAGATACAATAGAGATACAATCTTTCAGCTCAGGTCTTACAGAAGAAAATTGCTTCATAGTATTCTTGGCGCTTCTAATTGATACACTGTCACGAAGACGGATTGTCGTTATTGCCTCTGTTTGTCCAGCAGGAGGAGTACAATTACTGCTAGAAATGAAGGAAATGGTAATTGTCTATGGGAGATCCTAGCAGAAGAAAAATACTTAATACGAATAAACCAGCATATGAGTTCCTCTGTTACCTTTGGTGATTTTAAAGGCTAAAGCTGGAACATTCTTTATTTTGCATCTTCATTAAAAAACATCAAGGTCAGGAAGTTTGTATCTTTTAAGAAGCATTAAATCTTGTGGGTAGTGAGATGACGAGAATAAATACTAGTCTTCTCATGACTACATATGTAGTTGTTCTCTACTGTGGCTGTGCTGTCAAAGATTCAAGACACAGCTGGTTGAGCAGAAGCAAAAATAAATGCATTGGCAGTATATTTTACCTGATTTATAAAAGACTTTGAAGCAAAAGAAGTTTTTAAGCAAAAGAAGTTTTGCTGATACATCCTTTTTGCTAGCAATGGGGGTAGAATGATTTTCATAGCAAAAACCTAAACCTCTTTTATCTGATTTAGTTTTAGTTGTTCCTGGTTCTGCAGTTATCCATTGAATATTATGAAAATTACTTAACTAATTTTAAAGAGTTCTGGGCTCTATTGGTATCGGGGGAGGAAAGATCATAGAGGAAGTATTGTAGCAATGTCAGCCTGTTCTGTTTGGGACTCAGCTTTCTCAATTCCAATAAATGGTGTTGGAAAATATTCAGTAGTCTTTGTGAGATTATTTACAGTACTATTTCTTTCAATATTATGTAGTAGCTAATATTAATTAGAATCTGGAATTATGTATCATGCAAAGTAAAGAGAACCTAAAGGAAACCTTTTCTCTCTTAGGGCCATTATATGACCTTCAGGATGTGAGAACTTTTTAAAAAATGAAAACACGTTGTAATTTTCCTTCTCAGTGTTCTGCAGAAACAACCTAACCCTGCTCTCCTCCTGTATAATTATAGGGAGGGTATATGAGTATTGAATTAAGTTTAGAAAGTAAATTCATGAACTGTACAGAAAATATAGGAATGACTGAGAGGATAATATTTTGTTAAAAATATATTGATAGTGTCATTTTTATGTGAAGATTGTATGGTCTTTTCTTAAAATCTGTTCTAATCTGAAATGAATTCAGAATTATCACTTTGGATTGAAGACTATGTAGACAATTGTTTTTGGAATCAGAGTGCTATTCCGATTTTCACTTCAATCCAAATCATTCATGAATCAAACTGCAAAATTACTCATTTAGCAGACCTGAAATAGTCCTCAATCAAAAAGTGCTTTACATAAACATCAGCTGTTATTAATAATAAATATCTTTGCAAAAGGGCTTATTAGAATGCAGCTTGTGTTCTGTGAATTAATTTTTTTTTTTAACTCTATTTTTGTGGAGTCACATGTTTCTATTTCAGTGCAGAATTGTGAAAGTAGCTCTGTTATTAAGATCTGATTACCAAAAGACTCTATTCCTGCATATTCTTCACTTTTCTATAGAAAAAATGCCATTCTGTCTGTACAGATTGCTAGGTGAGGGCCCAGTATTGATTTCCAGGTGATCATTGCCTCAGAGACTTTTATTCCTCATGGGCTGTGTAACTGAAAAACGGTGATGTTGCCTCTTCAGCAGCTCCCAGTCTTTTCTGGTAGATGCATGTGTTTTACAGGAAGGGAGGAAGGGAGGAAAAAGAGAAGGAGAGAAAGAAGGAACAAAGGAAAAAAGGAAAGAGAGAAGGAAAGAAGGAGAGAAGGAAGAAGGGAAGTAAGGAAGGAAAAAAGGATGGGGAGAAGGAGAGAAGGAAGGAAGGAGAGAAGGAAGAAAGAAAGAAAGTAGTCTTTCTTGGTCTTCACTTCAGTATCAAACGTCATTCCTTTTCTGTACCTCTAGTTTTAATGTAGGTTAGGAGGGCTAAGTGCAAAATGCAGCCTGCCTTCTTTATGCTAGAATTTTGGGTTATGTGGTATGTCTTTTTGGCTGATGAAAGTGATGCTCAAGAGAAGGAACTCTTCTAGATTAAAGTGTTGGAGGGATGCTGAGAGCTGTGCTACAGACTTTATTCTAATAGGGGAGTATGATGCTAGATCCAGAATGTGACTTTGCTGTTGGAACTTTCTCTTACATTTCACCATTTTCTGATGCGTTTGAGTATGTTAAAATATTTCTTATAAATAAAACAATGAAGATAAATCTTGTTGAACAAGGCAAAATGACATGTCCTGCAGTTGGGCCACAACAACCCCATGAAACACTACAGGCTTGGGGAAGAGTGGCTGGAAAGCTGCTCGACAGAAAAGGACATTGGGGTGCTGACTGATGGCTGCTGAACATGATCCTTGTGCCCAGGCAGCCAAGAAGGCCAACAGCATCCTGGCCTGTATCAGCAATAGTGTGGCCAGCAGGGCCAGGGCAGTGATCATCCCCCTGTGCTCAGCACTGGTGAGGCCGCACCTTGAATCCTATGTTCAGTTCTGGGCCCCTCACTACAAGAGAGACATTGAGGTGCTGGAGCGGGTCCAGAGAAGGGAAACAAAGCTGGTGAAGGGTCTGGAGCACAAGTGTGGTGAAGAACAGCTGAGGGACCTGGGGTTGTTTAGTCTGGAGAAGAGAAGGCTCGGGGGGAACTTATTGCTCTCTACAACTACCTGAAAGGAGGAGGATGAAGCGAGGAGGTGGCTCATCTCTTTTCACAGGTAACAAGTGATAGGACAAGAGGTGACAGCCTCAAGCTAAACCAGGGTACGTTTAGGGCATTAGGAAAAATTTCCTCACTGAACAAGGGTAGTCAGGCATTGGAACAGGCTGCCCAGGGGAGTGGGGGAATCACTGTCCCTGGAAATGTTCAACAACGTGGAGTTGAGGCCTTTAGTGACATGGTTTAGTGGTGGACTTGGCAGTGCTGGCGTCACAGTTGGACTTGATGATGTTAAAGATCTTTCCCAACCTAGCTGATTCTATGGTACAAAAAGAAAGTATTTTACAGCTAGTAGAACTTGTGTCTTACCTTGCTGGTGGAAAGGGGAGTAAATGCTAGTATGAATGCTTTTATTTTGAGTTGATACAATTTTGAACTAACTTGTTAACTGGGTAAGAAGAGTTTAAAAAAAAAATTGAAATTAAGCATATATTTTCTACAGGCAGTAAGAAGGGCCAATGCTAACAAGAGCTGGCTTACTAGTTCCCAAAAGATGGTGGGATTTGCTTTTTGTTTTGTCTGGTTAACTAGTGATTTCTCCTTTTTCATTAACCATTGACTTTTTTCATAACTTTAGTAGACAGCATAAAATTCTTTTCTGCATAAACTCTTTTCCTGTGTTTATATTTTGAATGTTCATGGAAATAATTTGAATCTAAAATCAGACTTTTTTACTGAATATAATTTGCTTTAACTATTTTCTGTTTAATTAAACCACAGTATTCCTGAACCCTTAACCATTACACTGAACTTAAAGAAGGGAAGTTCAAAACTGGTGTTTTTCAGTTGTGTTTTGTTTTGGTTTGGTTTGGTTTTTTTTTTTTACCTTCCCTTCCCTCTTTCAGTTCACTTTTATGTTCTGGTTGTAATTTAAAGTATACTTGAAAAGTTTTAATAGTTTCCTGCTGTGATCTGGCTTTTCTAAGTAGGAAAACAGATGTATACATTCAAAAGACGGCCTTGAGAACATAATCGTAACTTATAAATAAGAGAATGGGTGTGTTAACTCATTATCAAAGGGAAAGACAAGATGTGAACTTGCAGTACATCTGCAGTAACTGCCATGTGCAAAAGTTTTCCTGTTATAAAAATAAGGTGTTTTAACCTTTGAAAAAGATCTATAAACTCTCTTACACTTTTCATATTTTCTGCTGGATGAGAGCAGGCTTTCTAGAGCAGGTGATACAGTAAGTTTGTATTCTCCTATATCCTGAGCCAGCTTGGTTGTGCACCCATACCAAAGTTAAAATAATCCACTTCAGGCCAAAATTTAAAATACGAGGATAAGTTTATGTTGGCTAATAGCATTACAGTGAGAGTAAGCCAATACAAATACTCAGGTTTTGTAGGTATCATCTTTAACAGTCAAGCTAGGAATGTTGTTATTCTTATTACAAAAGACATGATGTTAAAATGAAATTTGCTGTGGCTTGGAGCCATGAACTGGGAATCTTATAAATCAGAGAATTTAACGGAATGCCGTTCTTACATTTTGGAGCTTTTGTGCAGCAATCTGGCACAGTTTGAGATGGAAGATTCAGAAGTAACCCATTTGAACTTGCTCTATTCCCAAACCTTAAATACCCAAATAAAGTTTTTAAAAATCTGGCAAACCTTTCCGAACAATAAATAAGAGATTATTGTTTTTTAATTTCAGTCCATAAATGTGTCAATTTGCAGTGCAGCTCAGAAATCCAGTATTTACCTTTAGCTGTAAGTCTTTGGGAACAGCTTTTATCTAGCATTTCCACATGGTTCAAAGACTTAAATTAATTTCTAAGTGCTAAAATCTCTCTTTCTGTTTTGTTCTAGGATGTTTTTATATTAAGACACGAACTTGCTCTCCTAAGAATATCTGCCTTCATGGGTATAATAATGTTAGGTGGAATAAGTGGACTCTTTTACACTCAGCTTATGGGTATTTTCACTGTAAGTATCTATTTTTAGAAGTATATATTAGTTTTGTTTTCAATAAAATTAATAAAAGCAGAAAAGCATATTACATTTAAGGAAAGAGCAGAAAAACACTTGTACTCTGAGGCATCTATTTGGCATGTGGTCTGTCAAAACTCTTGTCTCCAGGAAAGTCTTTAGAAGCCATCTAACAAGTGTCTAATAAAATTCACCTATCAAGGCAATTTCCTGATCTATATTAGTAAAATAAAACCATACATGGTACTGGAATTGTGCAGTCTACAAGGTATGTATTTGTGGGGTTTGATTTCTGTTTTTATTTTAAACTCTCATGTGCCTTGGTGTGGATTATACTTAGTGACAGTGAGGGTCCCTGTTAAGTCGCGCATGAAGGTCTGTGTTTCTGTTTTCTTTCTGTTAAGTATTTTAATAAATATGCTTACATTCATATTTTTTTAGTTGCTATACTGTGCAATGGCATCAAGTAGAATTTACAGTCCAAATGTATATTCTGTATTTAAAAGTACAGAAAAAAGTCCTCTGCATGGAAAAATTTTCCAGTTAAATGGATTTGGTAATGTAATAAATATCTACAAGAAACAAGTGTTTGTTGCTGTCATATCCTGTTGTGTACATTAGAAGTTAGTCACTATCAGTGAATTCTTTAATTATCTTGCGAATCAGTGCAAGTGGTTGAGGTACTGCAGTGCTGAATGGAGAGAGTACAGTAGCTAGATCTGTGTGTGTCTAAAACGGTGTATAATCTAGCCTGCAAATTTTTTTTTAAAGACAGTAACCTAAAAGATGACAGCATCTTTGTCACTACAACTGGTTGAAATCTGCCTGAGGTCTCATTTTGGGATTATGAGGGTTTACACAGTAGTAACCTTTGTAGGTGCATAATGGAAAACCTCCTAACTGTATTATGTAATTCTTTTGTATGGAATAAAAGATGAAAATTACTGCATAGTTTTTCCTTCTGTTAGATAAAACAATAACATTGCTCATTGTTTTTATTGTATTACCTTCACACAAGTTTACTGCCTTCTGCTCTTTGTGTGACTGTAGCTATGCTGTGTGTTATTTTTGCCATCCTCCAGCTGCTCTACCAGACTGCTTTCTGCACTTCCGTCAACTCCCAGGTCTGCAGATTTGCCTTTGTGCCCTTCACTGCGTGCCTGGTTTCTGTTTCAGGATCTTGCTGACAGGTTCTCACCTCCCTTTTTAAATGCTGGCACAAACCTTAGTGTTTGTGTCCTCTAGAGCTGGGACTTCTTTCTAATCTGATACTGTGCCTTGCTGGGTACCTAGCTGCAGTGCTGCACACATCTGAATTCTGCTCACTCTTGCTCACAGTCGTGTGAGATGCAGAAACACAGGGAGCCTTAGAGCTCAGATGCTGAAATATGGATTAATGGATATTTGAGAAGGAACAAAAAGCTGTGTGATCAGTACTACACTAAACCACAGAAATGACACAGCAGAAAACAAGGAACAATTCCTAAGTCTACCATTCTGTTCTGTGTGCTGCCAGAAGCTGGACTGAATTTTGGCAGTGGCCATCAGCATTTATTCAGCTACTATTAGTACGCATGAAATAAAAGCTCTCAGACTGAACCCAGTTCTGTGAGATACACCTGATACTTGGGACATTTCTGTTCTGACACAGAACATCAACTGTGCTGCCTTTGCAACAGGCATGAATTCCCAGTATGTTCTTTCACTGTTCTGAACCTTAACACTGTCAGGTTGCTACCACCACTGCAAACTCTTATGAAGTCCTGTAAAGCCCTTTTATTCTATGTCAGTTGCATTACATACATACTGTGAAGTATATCCTATGCACTTACTAAGCTGGCCACTACCCTGGAGCAGATGTGGGCTAATTACATTTTCAAGTCCAGCCTCCTTTTATATGCTGAAATAATAATTCTGTGGGTTGCTGAGCTGCATTATGCCTGTATACTCTGTTTTGTCCTCTTTGAGTCCAACTTTGCCAAACAAACCACAGTAATTGTGGATATGGGTGTACTGTGAGAGGCAGGTGCTAGAAAGTACAGCTCTTCTGCATTAGAGCATCCTACTGCACCCTACTTGTAGTGGAGGGGCTATTGTGCTTGCCTCCTATGGACAAGTTTTTAGGTTTGGGATTGTTTGATTGGATTGATGGGGAAGTCGAAATCCATTACTGGGATCTCCAAACTGTAATTCATTCACACTACGTGGATGCTGTTGCACTGACTCATTGAAGTACACAGGTCATCTAGTCCGTCCCTCATTCAAGGCATTTCCATATTAGCAGCACAATCATCATCTTGTTTTTCAGTCCTTTCTTCATGAATATAGAATTGGCAAGAATAAACAATGCAGTCATTCTGAGGAAATCTGCTTGGGAACAACTAGTCAGACTTCAATCAAACAAAGCCAAATCTGTTTGGTGAGGTTGTGCTTAGCCTGCAAGATACGTCAGAAAATCTTTCTGTACAGATGATTTTGCTTGTCAGCATTGTAGTGTAGGGATTTGCTTTCTCCATAAGCACTGACTAACAGCTTTGGCTAGCCAATGGAAATGGCAGAGGAGAGGGCAGCAGGTGGGTGAGTAGTTTCTTTGCAGGCTTCCCAAAGACATGCCTATGATTCATAGAATAGGGAAACAAAGAAACTGGATGTACCCACCCACAGTGCTGAGCACACAGCGTGGAATACATTCAAGTCCTGTAGAATCAGTGAACTGTGATCACTAAGGGCCAGCAATGTTCCTACTGTATATTGTGCTGGAGTTACTGTTCAACATCTAACTTTCCTGCATAAACTGAGCAAATTGTGACTGAAATGAGCTCTATTTAAAATAATGAATTCATGATGAAATTAAGCCTAACATTGAAATATACAGATCAAAATTAATTTAACAACAGAATGCAATTGTTCAAGTATTATTTTGCAGACTTGAGGTTAATTTAAAAGAAACTCACGCTTGAAGGCATAGATACGCAGTTAAAACAGTCATATTATATTGATTGATCCATAGCTATTGAGAGCAACAATTTCAGTGACTGCTGAAGCTGCCCAGAGATGTGTGCAGGAGAGGTGGACAAGAGCATGGGCCTTTTGAAAAGGTGAAGCAGAGCAGCTCTTACTTGTGCTTTTACAGGAAAACAGATAATAAACTGTATCCTAGTTCATGCTCCATACCCGAGTTTGCAGTTTAATATCAAGACAATATTAGTTCCACAGCTCCTGGATAAAAGTGATTTTTGAATAATAAGAGACAGTCAGCATTGCATGTCTGTGATCTAAACTTTCACTGATACATACTGTTGCTAAATGAGTCCAGCAAGTTCAGGGTTGTAGGGGTTTAGCGTTGTTTACCTGTATTTCAAATGCTGCCAAAATCATATTTCTGGAAATAAAAATAAACCTAGGATCTATGAAACTTTGATCCTTTTATAGCAAAATATCCTGATTCCCTGTAAGGTAAACCTGCTTGATGTCATTATATAAATTTCTGAAAACCAAGCCAATAGTTTCTTTTCCTGCTATGTAATATAAAGCTAAGGCTAACTTTTTGCAGGAATATTGGATGTGCATGTTAAAAAAAATCCCCAGTTCTTGGTCTCTCAGTACATATATAGAATGTGCTCTGCTTACTGTCAGTCTTACAGAAGTAACTTGGGATAAAGAAACCACAGACTTGTTCGTCCTCTTTCAGCATCAGGAGTAATAAGTAACTGGCACCTGAAATGATAGCTTCCTACTTCATTGTTCATGGTTGATTTCCACATCTGAATGGATCTGCTCAGACGTAAATGATTGGAATGTAGCATGCATTGTGAAACGTGATACATACCCTAGTCACAGCACTTCTACTGATTCTTCATATTTATGGAAGTTTATCCTTTTTCTACTGCAGCAAGATAGATAAAGTTCAATGTATAGAATTAATTTGCATTAAGTGACCTAAGTATACAGCATTTTATAATCAGAGTTGCTCTTTACTAGAATTGATCTAAGTGATAGCTTGATGAGCTGTAAGAATGAGCAGAAGTTTTTTATAGGATTTTAAGGGGAAATACTGGCATTTTCTCCTCTTCCAGAAATTTTTTCCCAAGTCAAAAAATGTTGCCCAACTGAACATGCAATAGAAAAGATATAGCAAATATACTCCAGCATGCTTTTCTGGAACAGGGCACTAGATAGAACAGGAAAGCAAAGCAGCACATTATGAAGTACAGGTGAAACATTCTACTGTGTGTGCCGGCATTTTCCAAAATTCAGTGTTGTGCAGTTGACTGATTTCTGTGCTTACCAATTGCATAACTTGCATAGGTTATAACAGTATCTACTGTAGAAGTTCTTTAAGAAACAAGTGCATGTAATCTGCTGTTGTCCTCTTTCACGTGTGTTTACAGATACCAAGATGCTTGTAAAAAATGTGATTTCTTGTAAAAGTGAAAACTTTATAACTTGTTTATTCAAATTTGGCCCTTGCACAGAGAATGTTCTTAAGACTCTACTTACTGCATGAGAAAGTGATTAACAGAACAAGTTACCTAATATGTAGTAGTTAAGTATCACTGTTAGGGTATTATTAGCATAAGGCTATTCATAGCTCATCTGGAGGTGCAGGAAGCCAAAGAGCAAGGGAGGTGACTTCCTACAATGAGGGGAGAACAGCTGGTTAGCAAAAACTGTCATTAGAGGAACTTTTGACATGAATTGTTCCAATGAAGAGGGGAGCAGCTGAGGTAGCCTCTGTATACAAGATTAGTGCTTTCTCCCTCAAAACTAGCATATGTGAAATACACTTCTAGCAGGAGGGGTACACAGCTCTTTCATCCTCCTTCTCCAGTTGCTTTCCCAAGCTCTGTTTTGGCTCACTGTCATCCTGAATTTTAATGCTTCTTCCAGCATATACCTGATATTGCTCTTGGGGAACTTTTATTTGGATACTTTGGAAATAGAAGTATTTAAGTTCTTTCCAGTTCATAAGTCTCTGAAATAGGGAGAAATTTAAG